AGAAGGAGAAAAATGAAAAGATTGTTTATGAACTGTATATTTAGGTGGAGATTCATTGAAACAAAAACCGAGTCGAAATCATAGTCATGAAACTTCGAGAAAATCGGGAAAAAATCATAGAAACACAAAGCTCTGAAGACAACTGTGTGAAAATCAATGACCGGAAACCCAACAATCGGCCGAAATCAATTGTCCTCGGCCCACTATCCATATTCAAAACACATGCTAATGAGTTCTCGAGAGTTCGACTCTTAAAGCCGTGGGAATCTCCGCTGCCACTACCCAAATTCCTCTGCCAAGAATGCGCGCTATGGCATCTTCATGCTGATATTTTTTTATGTTTTTTTGTACTTCAGTTAAGATTAAAGAGTAACAAGATTATTCAGAAAGCACTTGTAAGGACAAAACTGCACTTGAACTATTTTCCTAAAAACAAAACCATCTTATAAGCGATTGAAGGGGATTGTGAAAAAACGCAAAGCTCTGGTATGGTGGTTTGTTTAAGATAAAGTTCATATAGTAACCAGGAAAATATATGGTAAGCAGAAAATTCCGTGAAAGTTCAGGGAGAAAATTTATTCACCCGAGAGAAAAGGACACTTAAATGCCAGTACCTGATTATACTTCTTCATTGCTTCTAAATTGGCTATAAGTTCGAGGGGCCAAGAGACCTGTTGTGTTAGAATTAAACAAAGTCTCAGATCAAAATGTCGTGTACCAACAACACAAAGAAACAAACTCACGCACACAAAAATAAAAATAAAAAATAAAAAATAAAAGGAGTAAACAGCACAAATATGCCAAAACTGCATGCCTTATAAGTGAACTTCAGAGAGTCGAGGACATCCATACTGGTGCTCTGTGCTCTACCTTTACGAGGAGTTGAAACAGGAACAGATTGATTGACAGGTTCATCTTCACTAAATTCCACGTTTTTGGTGACTGACACAATCAATGAATCAGGTGTATTTAGCAACACATTATCAGCAGAGTTTCTTATTGATTCCTGAAAGTAGAGAAAATTCTAGCATTAATAATTTTACACATTCCAGGGCCCAG